TCTCTGTACACAACATATTATATGAACGTTTGTAATATAATCTGATTTCCATTCGTATAAACGCAGTCTATATGCCAAGGATAGTTGCAGCGAGGAACCTCGAAAATTATGAAATTGAAAGTGTAATTTGAAGTGAATTGAAATAATTAATAAAACAAATTATAATAAAACGGCTCTAGCAATTTAAATATATTAATAAATGAGTATTCAGGACGATAAGAGCCAAACACGTAGATAGTAAACGTTACAAAGTCAAATGAAATAAATGAAATAAATTTTGTTTGTCACAACTTACGAACACTGATGTGACGGATTCTTTGACTGTCGATAGTATGACTCATATTATTTTTTAACTTTTATAAGAACTACAAGGAATGTGTAGCGAATTCTCTCAAATTAGCGGAGAGAATGACGCTTACTGGATCGACCTCGTACGAGGTCCAGCGGCGTGAGGAAGAGAGGCAAAATCGATTAGGAATTGATTTGTTCAAATTGATTTATTCACTTTATTTAACACTCTCGATACCTTTACACCGCGGCTATCTCGAGTAGATCATGAGTTGGAGCGGAAATCTTCTTAGAGTCGTAACTTCGGTCACACAACTACGACGGAAATCTTGTGGAGCATCCGACGGATGCCCGGCCGACGGAGATCTTGACGCGGCCGACGGAGATCTTGTATCGCGGTGACCCCTGACTCTTTCCCGAAATGATCGTCGAGATTCCGCGGCACTTTAGCGCAGGACAACACAAAAACCGAAATTACAATTTCCAGCGCGCGCGACACTAATCGAATGTACGGACAAAGTGTCGTTCAAGGCAATACGGAAACGCCGCGATTAACGATGAAAAACGGCCAAGGCAGACACCGGTCGAAACAGCCGACGGCTATGAGAGCGGAGCAATCCGGAGCTGCGCGAGAGAGCGGTCGCCGACGGCGACCGGCGATTCAGAAATATGAAAATTGAAATTCCGCTAATTCGGGAATTCAAAGGAAAACAAGACAGCGGCTTTGAGAATAAGAACTCGAACGTAGCTAACTCCGCGATACGACCTTACTATCAAGGCGAGAGATTGCTCCGACTCTTCCGACGTCTGGCTGTTAGCTAAGCGGATGCACGACTGTGTGGCCTTCTATAAAACGTGGCTAATTGCCGTGTGAAACATTGCCCGTTTCTCTTAATCTCTGGCACCCGCTGATTAGTCCAGCGCAAAAGGTGATCGCTGGTCGCGTGCCGAAATTTCCTTAAAAGAAGATGTCTCACGCTGTGTAGGGCTCCACGGCGCGTGCCGGCTTTCGATTCGCGGAAACACTGTTTATCCGCAGTTGCTATGACAACCGAAAGCGATCGGTGTTTATTCCGGCTTACCTGGCACGCGCCGCGGAACACCGAGGTACGTGGAAGGCACGTGACGGTGCCGATCTCTCATCGCGACGAATCTCCGCTAGTTTTTTCGCTCGCGTCGCGAACAGAATGTAATGTGTTGACCATCATTAATTGTATTGAACGTCGCCTGAAGAGGACCACATCCCAAGGTCGAAACGTTGGGCAATAAATTTATATTTGTATTTATATTATTTATTTCATATGACTTTGTACGCTTGTATTTTACCATCTACGTGTTTGGCTCTTATCGTCCTGAATTCTCATTTATTAATATATTTGAATTGAAATAGTATAATTTGAAAATGTAATTTCATGTTCCAACCAAGGATAAGGAATGGGCAGGTAAGAAATTTACAAATATTTTATAACATCTTTTTTTATTTGCCAATGAAAGGCATTTTCACATTTATTGTACATTTATTGTACAAGCAGGCATTTATACATAAAATGTCAATATTTTATACATAAATGTTAACAAAAACATGTACTTAGAATTGATATGAATCTACAAGAAACGTGGGGAATATCCTCCCCATGGGTATACTGATGCGTACGCTGGCGGTGTGTATGCTGGCGGTGCGTATGCTGGCGGCGCGTACGCTGGCGGAGCGTACGCTGACGACGGATATGCTGGTGACGGATATGCTGGCGACGGATATGCTGGCGACGGGTATGCTAGCGACGGGTATGCTGGCGACGGGTATGCTGGCGACGGATACACTGACGATGGGTACGCCGGCGGAGGTGGGAATATTGCTGGAGGCTGCGTCGGCCGCGGAAAGCGTGGTGGCCTCGTGCGCCATGTTGCTTTTTTCATACGTTTGTTCTCTTTTTCAAATGTCCAGCGTACAATGTCCTTAATTGCCTGTAAAAGAAGAAGTACATTATTAAAAATTATCGTAAGTCTCGCAGACTGCTGGTCTCTCAGCTTGAAGCGTGTGCTAGCTATCAAGCGCGGAGGGCAACAGCACCGCGGAGAAAAGTATACGTCGGTTGAGCGATCCTAAAGCCAACGTGTATGAGTGAACTCCTAATAATCATATGTACATTCATGATCGTTCGCGGTGATGAACAGTGCCTCGATTCTGTGATGCAGTGTCTCGCATTGCGAGTGACGCAACGTCACGTCGCGAAGTGAAAAGTTTGTAAGATTCTATATTTGTAACAATGACTTGCAAAGTAAAGTTTGTAAAAATATCTCGTGTCATTGTAACAAATGCAGAACCTTACAAATTTTCCACTTCACGACGCAACGTTGCGTCACTCGCAACGTGAAATATAACATCATTAAACCGAAACACTGTTCATCTCAACGCACGATCACTAATGTACCTTTCACTATTCGCATTTCACTCTAACACTTTCTTCTTGAGGCACTGAGAATAAGGCAATGAAGCGATCAGAGTTCTTCATTTCCAGATGGAAAATGAAGAACTCTGATATTTCATTCCCTTATGTATTATAGTATAACATTTTCGCCTCACCTTCCGTAACTGAGGGTCCTTGTCCACCCTCGTCATCGGCTTCGCCGTCATGCACGTTGTGGGCCCCACCGTCGTGCTCGCCGTCGGGCCCACCGTCGTGCTCACCGTCGCGCTCGCTGACGGCTCTACCGTCGTACTCGTCGTCGGCTCCACCGTCGTGGTCGTGCTCGGCTTTGCCGTCGTGCTTGTCCTCGGCTCCACCCTCAAGGGCGATAAGCTCGTTTTATTGTTCGCGAGCGATGGCGACGGCGACAGCATCGTCTTGCTGGAAGCACCTCTCCTGCCTCGTTGCCCTTGTTTCTGCGTGTTAGACGGTTGCAATGGCGGTGTCATCGTCGTCGGCGTCTTTCTCGTCACCATTGTCGTCGCCGCCGCCGTCTTCATATCCGCAACGCTTCCCTCGCTTCTAGCTGAAAGAAACATTATTAATTAAAACATCATACGCACTAAAAAATTATGTGGTAATATATGTACAATTCTAAAATACCTTTTCTCATGGAGCTTATTCTGCTACCGGCTTCTACCAAGCAACGTCTTCTTGCGAAGTTCGTTTGCGTTTGAGCACAAATAATCGTATTTAGGCATGTGAGGGGAAACATAAGAAGCGCGTGGCGCGCGCGTGCTGTGCTCGGTAGCGCCCGACCATTAGGCCAGACACACACATACGCGCCGTGTCGCGACACATTTGTGTGGTCTGGCCTAAAGGTCGAGCGTTACCGAGCACGGCACGCGCGCGCTACGCGCTTCTTTTGTTTCCCCTCACATGCCTAAATGCGATTGTTTGCTCAGACGCGAACGAACTTCGGAAGAAGACGTTGCTTGGTAGCAGAGTAAGCTCCATAAGAAAAGGTATTTTAGAACTGTACATATATTATCACATAATTTTTTAGCGCGTATGATAATATTTTAATTAATAATGTTTCTTTCAGGTACAAGCGAGGGAAGCGTCGCGGATATGAAGACGGCGGCGGCGACGACAATGATGACGAGAAAGACGTCGACGGCGATGGCACCGCCATTGCAACCGTCTCACACGCAGAAATAAGAACGAGGCAGGAGAGCCGCTTCCAGCAAGACGATGCCGTCGCCGTCGCCATCGCTCGCGAACAATAAAACGGGCTTAGCGCCCTTCAGGGTAATGCCTCTGATGAAGCCGAGGACGAGCACGACCACGACGGTGGAGCCGACGACGAGTACGACGGTAGGACCGTCAGCGAGCACGACGGTGAGCACGACGGTGGGGCCAGCGACGAGCACGACGATGGGGCCGACGGCGAGCACGACGGTGGGGCCCACAACGTGCATGACGGCGAAGCCGATGACGAGGGTGGACAAGGGCCCTCAGTTACGGAAGGTGAGGCGAAAATGTTATACTATAATACATAAGGGAATGAAATATCAGAGTTCTTCATTTTCCATCTGGAAATGAAGAACTCTGATCGCTTCATTGCCTTATTCTCAGTGCCTCAAGAAGAAAGTGTTAGAGTGAAATGCGAATAGTGAAAGGTACATTAGTGATCGTGCGTTGAGATGAGCAGTGGTTCGATTTAATGATGTTATATT